GCAGGCCCATAAGAAAGAGAAAGAGCGTCTTTTTGGGCTTGAAAAATAATGTGGACACAGAAAAGTTATTAAGCTTTCCTTGATTTGTGAATGTATTTGGCAGAGACGAGAAATTGCACTAGATAAGCTAAAATGTACTAGAACAATATAGCCAAAGTGTGAAAATAATGGGAGTGAGGTAGAAAAAGTATGTTTGGGGGGGAGGGCCAGTGGACCATTTATTTTTGGAAGAGGGTGGGAAAAAAGGTCATAAAATTACGTGACAGAGTCTAGCCATCAGGATGATATAAACAACACGTAATCCAAGTGGATTAGTGGAAAAGCTCAAGCAGAAATGTAGCCTACGGTTAACTATTCTCATGATGTTCTGTGGATTGATGCTTTGCATCCAGAAAAGTTAAATCTGCTCAAACAAACAGGGGGGCATCTAAAAAACGGTTGTCTTATTGAAACTATAGTGGAAGCCAGCACAGTTCATCTCTGCTCGTCAAACCAAACTGGTCGGATGTTATCAAATCTGCACTCTTCTACACTCCTTTCAGCACCGTTTTAATGCGTCATAATAATCTGTATAGCCAGATTGCAATAGGCCTGCATCTTACTTTACCGCATCAAATCACAATGTGCTTGATGAGAGCCTTGGGACCGAAGAGATGTTCACAGTCTTTTAATAACGCACCCATTCACTGTAAGCCTGCTCATGTTCCTTTTCAGGGTTTTCTTGCACAGTGTTGAATGTACATTGCAACATGAATAGAAGGTTTGTATATACTGCTGTTTCAGAAAATGTACATACAATCAAGTATATTTATTATAATAAAACTTCGAAACACACTTGAAAATGTGCTTGCAGTTTGATAGGTGCTTTACAAACATGACCAGGCATGCTTGTAAGGTCACTTTGTCTGAAGGTGTGGTAAGTTGTGTACCAGTCCGGGCCTAGTTTGTAATCACTGCAAACCTAAGCTAGAGATCTATACATCTAACACACATAGAGATGTTTTAAGAAGGGAATTAACCACTTAACCACCTTAGGTTTAAAATAGTACTTAATTTAAATGGAAAGTAGACTATGCTTAAATCCCTAATAGTTTTACATCTAAGAGCCTTTAAGGGTATTCCTGGACTGGCATCCAGTTGAACTGGAAGCAGTCAGAGTCAAAGTTTCCACCCATGTGGTTGTTAGTTAAGGCTAGATGCACACTAAGACAGTTTTCTTTAGCCCAACATGAATATAAATGCAAGTTAGTTATTAATTTGCAGAACAGAAACGAGTGCTGCTCCAGAAATATTTTCAAGTCACATGCTTTAGTACATTGGGCTAAAAACAAAAACCTTAACATATAGAGAGATAATGCATCTAATGCTTGTCAAACCACCCTAAAATTCATAAAATAGAATTATGCAAAGGATTGAAAACATCTTCCACTTTTTTTAACTCCACAAATGTTTGACAAAAAATGTAAAAAGTCAAAAAGACAAAAGTGCACTTAAAAAAAAAGATAGCAAAATTGTTGGTATAAGCATGCATGTAGATATTTTCAGAAATGTATATGTGGGTAAAATTTTCAAGGATGAAACATGTTGGTCTAAAAATAATAATGGTCATTGAAACTTTGTCATAATCTGGGTTTGAACTCACAGTAACTTGTACTTTGATGCCTCCAGGCTAAAATATCCAGGTATCACAAAACTTCATTTCTTACATAGCCATAATGTCTATGTAAGTGAAATAGAAAACCAGATTTATGCACAAACTCATTACATTTTTGTGTCAGAGTGTTTGTGTGTTATCATTATTATTCATTTAAAAAAACATGCCAATTCATGTAAGTAGGTGTCTGAGTTTCTTTCTCCAACAGGCCACCGTGTTCATCCTGTGAGTTTCCTCATCTTCATTGCAAGTTGGTTAACTTATGTTCACTAAACTCTCATTCATTTCATAAGTGAAACAACAAACAGTCATGGAATTAATGACTCTGGTCATCAATCAAATCAGCAGGAGGTCCATTTAGATTGACAAAAGAGCCAATTTAACTAAAAATAATAATTCAAGATAAATATTTACACTTGTATCAGTAAAATAAAAGTTTGATGCAAATTCTAATGAAAAGACTGTTTAAATGCTGGCACCTGAAAAGCTGCACATCACATGAGCCCTGAAAGGACCCTAATGATCAGCTTCTTAAGGAGGTCCTCTTGTACTAATTGTATATGGTAAGTGGACCCATGGCATTTGAAGTCAATTGAGTCTTAGGCTGAATGTAGTTATCTCACATGTTTAAATGCAATTACAGTACATCCACATTCCTGTTCGAAGCAGAGGCTCCTTCCTTTACATATATATATATATATGTGTGTGTATATATATATATGAACTATATGTAAAACATTGTAAAGGTATTCAAGTTTCAGATTCATTTCCTGTTTCCAGGAAATGAATCTCTCTCTCTTCTCCACCTCTCAATACAGAAATTCTGTGGAGAAACATTTAAAAAAGAAACTAGTATAATAGAGTAAACAAAGTAGATAAAATGCAAGATATTTAATCTTCTAACAAAAAAGCTGAAAGCATTCTTTGGCAAGACTTCGATGTGTGAAAATCAGTGGCATGCTCTACTCACATCTGATTCACAGTAGGCTTTCTGACATCTTGTTTATCGTTGCTGTCATTTCACAGAGGCACTATGCTCTTCTAACAGTGAGTCACGGACCTTGAATCTCTCGAAACTTATGACAGATTCACATTGTCATCCGGAAATCTAAAAATATAAAAGCGATTAATTAAACATGAGGATGAGAGGGAGGAGATTTAAGTAGAGAATGAGATGAAGCATCCTCAAATGCTGCCCTTTAAAATTTGTTCCACTCACTTCCAGAGGAAGAGGAGCATTTATGCAACATGCAACTCAGACACTGTTTCATGTGTCTTTTAAATTGCTTTTTAAAAAATTTCAGTTATGCAAGATGTTCCTGAAAATAGCCACAGCATCAAATATTTAGAGTGCTCCATCACTCACCTTTACAGGTGAGTAAATCAGGTTTCTCAACAGCTGTTTGGAGGTATTTTATTTTAACATATGCACAACAAAACCATGTATTTGCTTAATTCGCTCGCTTGGAAACAAGCACACTAAGCAGACTGGTTCACAAAGAGGTGAGCTACACACTTGGCAGACACAGACCACTGCATCATCACTTCATCTGGACTTAGATGGTGGGTTTTCAAGGCTGTGAGTTGCCATAGAAACCCTTAACATACTCCGCAAACAGCACAGAAGGTTCAGCAGCGTTATTTCAACTCACCCGCTTTCTGCCACCACCATCCTACACACACGGCACTCTGAAGCAGTAAGAGATGAGGTGTGAGGACAGGGGAGGGCAAAAGGGGACAGAAGCTCTGCATCTTTTATCAAGCTGACAGGTAAAATATGTCAGAAAGATGAAAACCAGACTGAGGGCTGCTGACTCGCTTCAGTGTGTCTCTTCATTTTTTTTTTCTGGGAGAAATGTTTTCGTCAGATCAGAGTGACATTAAAGTACTTTTTCTGATGAACACAGGTGACATTATGACAGCATATTTGGATCTATCTCTTGTGCTGGTTCAGCCTCTTCCCACTTGTTCTAGTCGTCTCAGCAGTCCAGCAGACGGCGGCCTGTCACATTTAAAGTGCACTTTGTGTTTTTGAGAGCCGATACCAAAAACAGTTATGAAAAAAAAATCCTGTCTTAAAATACTGTACTGGAGAAATGTGTGAGACAAGGCTATGGGTACGTTGAGCCACCACCAGTTTTCCGGCCCGAAAAACAGGTGGATTTTCGGTTCTTTCTTACTACAGAAGAAAGAACATTATAAATAAAGTTGTAATATACTTTATTTACATTTTAAATTTTGAGTGTGAATTAGTGAAAGTGTACCTCTGAATTGCACCTTTTCTAAAAAGGTGACTGGTGCATAATGTACTGGAACTCTCGGGGTGAATTCAACCATTGGCCTCTTTTATCTCAAATTAATTTTGTATCTGTACAAAGCTTGTTGTTATGTCAAATATACAGTTAAGTGAACACTGAAAGCTAAAAGAAAAAAAATCTTTGGATGCTCATGTTCCACAAGAAACAAATTTGTCATGTCTTGGATTTCATGACAAATCATATCCAGACTTTTACTTTAAAACCTGGTTAATATGAACTGTTTTCTCAGATAGTTTAACAAACTACCTCACACCACCCTCATGGAGCCTGTGTCTGGCTGTTTGATAAGAAAAACATGCATGAGTAGCCCTTTTGAAGTCTATTTGAAAGAGCAGAACAAACACTTCCAGAGCTCTGGTAGTGTTTCTTTCTCATACAAACAAGCAGATACTAATCCTGCTGCTGGATTGACGCTCTTCCACACTTTTGATGGTGATAGTTGGGAGATACAGGAAACATTTTTTAGACAGTATAAACAGGTATGCCATCCTGGAGGAGCTGGGCTACCTGTGCAAAAGGAATGTGCTTCAGGTACTGCTTCATGCTGCCAGTATTGACAAGAATGGTACTGAAAAATCACAGCAAAGGAGAGGAAGCACTGCATGTGTTATCACGTTGATTTGCACCAAAATGGATGAAACTGATTTACAGCAGTCTATGTTCCCTACAATATGCCTGAAACTTACCTGACTTTGTGTTATACTGTGATGATTGAACTGAATTGAGAGCCTTAATTTTAATAGGACAAACCATTTGGCTCATTACTTATGTCCATCACAAATAATCATAAGATATAGCACAAAAAGGCAGGTTAAAGCAGCGTTATTGAAAGGTTAATATGAATAATGATCAAATATGCTCAATAATAAATTCATTTATACTGGCAAAAATCCTGCGTGGCCCATTTTGCACAAAGTATTTCTCACAAGGCTTCAATTTGTCCTGAAGGACACTGTTCTGGAAAACTTCTACTTATGCATCCTCCACACAAGGACAACCATGAACACACACAAGACACTCGTGTTTTTCAGCAGCCTTTATGTTTAAATTTATCAGATTTAACAAATTTCATTAACAGCATTGCTGTAATCAACCTATATTTCCAGTAATAAGCACAACTGATCAAACACAGCCTTCAGCTTTCACTACAACGGCGACAAAGTTTGAGGATACTCTGGTCCTCTGTATAGTCATGAAGAACATGTCTTTGGATTGCAATAACTATATATGCATTTTTATTGGAACAAAAATCTGACCTCTTAATGCATCTGTGTCTGTGCAGGCAGGTCCGTGCAAATAAAAAGTTGTCTAATCTTTAAACTGCATATACAATTTTTGAAGTTGCTTTTTGTCCTGACGTAAAAACTAACTACACACTGTAAAAACAGACACGATTACTGCCATTATTTAAATGAGCTGTCTGGCAGGTCCTGCAAAGTTTGGCCTGAGCTGAAGACTGAATGTTCTTTCTTCTTCTGTCCATGTTTGTCTTCTTCTTCTCTTCCAGCTTCATGTACTAGGAATTTCTACCCAAAACAAGCCAATCTGAAACACATTAACTCTCAAAGTGCTGCAAAATTTCTAATTTAAATTAACATAATAAAATATACAGTGACGAGAGCAACATGACTGAGACCGATATAAAAATATGACTGTAAATTTGCCTGGTTTTGTGACTTTTTATTTCATAGGCACAGGAGGACAAGGATCACAGGGTTGTCAAAGCTGACTTTTTGAGTCATGTGACACTGCTGAATGTGCAACAGGGAGGACGTGCTTGTATTTTGGAGTGATGGTGATCTGTACCCTTAAAGTGTATGGATCTGATATGACAATACGGTGGAGCGGGGAAGCATCCTGATGATCCTTTGATTGAGGGGCTGTGTTTTTTGCAGCTTCAGAGTCTCTTGGGCTGTCCACTGGATAAAGTTTATCACCTGGATGAGTAAGTAGTCCGAGAGAGAGAGAGAGAAAGGAAAGATTAAACATAGATAGGTGTAAATCATTAAATGATAATGATAAAATCTGCACCTGGCAGCAGCGATATATGATGTTCATCATTTGATACAACAACGGGCATCCACTGCTCGCAGCCCGCTGTGGCACGCTGGCTGGCGAAGTTGTGGAGATCATTTAGTAGAGGGAAGTGGCACAGGCGGCTGAGTTCATAGAACTGTGGAGGCGCAATCCACAACTCCTGTGCCTGGTAGCTCTGCAAGATCTCTGAGGGTGTGGACCACTGAAACACACAGATGGGGTTAGTGTTTTAGAACTGCAACACTGTGATCTTACCTTTGATTTGGTACACAATATCAATCAGCTGGTACAAAGACACCCGAAAGAGCTAGTGTTATTTACCCACTGAAACTAATTTTACCACATTTTCTGTGTAATTTCAGCTGCAAAACCCCATTTTTGAATTACTCACGCTGACTTATCCTTGTGTAACCAGTGGCCCCTGGAAGATTTTAATGATTGGTAGAGGAATTGTATAAAGAAGTTCAGTGTCAGGTGATATCAGTTCTTATCTTGGGAGGTCTTGCTAGCCTCCCAGTGTGATTTTCTGAGATCACACTTTTTTTCTTTATGAGGAACATTATGTAAGAGGCAAGTTGACTGCACTGGGAAAATTTAAAAAGGAGCAAGTATCGAACCACTTCTTAGGTCTATGACATTTTCCAACTGTGCTTCTTTAAAAAAAACAAAAACGAACTCTGTGTCGTAAAACAGAAATCATGATTGTCAAGAAACTGATTCACAAGGCGGTAAGCATCACTATCAAGAATTTGGAGGTGTTTCCGTTAGTGAGGGACAGGAGGTCACTGAACAAACTGCTCTCCACCACAGACAATCTCACCCACTCCACTCCGCACTACTGAGGCAGCAGAGCTCCTTCAGACTGATTCAAACACACTGCCATAAAGAATGATTGTAGAAAGCAATCCTATATTTCTCTATAAAACTGTACAATAAGGTTTTGTTCTGTCACAGGTGAACATACCTGTCAGGAATAAGATCTAAAACACACATTTTTGTATTATACCCTTTCATGTTTACTTTTATTTATTTTTTTGTAAATGCAATTTACACTATTCTCTTGCATTCGCTTCAGTTTTACTCTTTGTTTGCTATCATTGTAGTCTATGTAAATTTTTGCACTATTTAACAGTATAATTCCCTTACTGTGCACCTGTGGCACTTATACATTCATTTGGTTGTTTATTTACTGCAGACTGTGCTGTTTTTATTCCTTATCCCACTGCTGTAACACAATCATTTCCTTTCTGGGATCAATAAAGTATTTAGCAGTGATTACTGAAAGGTCTTAATTTTGTTCTCCGAATTCATTTCCTGTTACATTTGGAGCATTTCTTTGCTTTACTTTGTCCCCTGGCATTGAATGGGCTGTGGACAAAAAGATCTGCAGGTCTGTCTAATAAGAATAAATTGACATCTCTTGTTTTCTGTAAGCTATAAGCAAAAGGTCGATAGAGGCTGTGTCCTACCACACCAGGCAAGACCCTCGGTGCAAGTTGTGCAAAGATGCTCCTGAGATGACCACATAACAGCAGCGTGCAAGATGCTAGCAGGCAGGGGATACATGGAACCCTATAACCAAGTGCCTGGCATAGTATACAGGGACATCTGTGCTGAGTATGGCTATACTATATCTTTGCTAAATAATATGGCCATACCAAGAGATAGAAAAATCAGAAAGGAGCCACCCCTCAGTGGCTGTAGCTCAGGAGTCAGTTGCTCTACCAGATCCCAGATTTTAGTTGGGATACTGTTGGATTATATGACTGACCCCCTTTTTAATGAATTGGTAAGCAGGTTTTGATGGTCACGTGTGCGTTTCATGCGTCTATAAAGAATATAAATTAATCTGGCTGGAAATATGTAATCACCTGAAAACGCTCAATTTCCTTATCATCTTGTAGCGTATGCGGAATCTCCTGCAAGCAGCAGATGAAGAAAGCTGTGTCAAATCTCGTCGTCCCATATCGGCCTGCTGGAGTCAGCCAGTTGCTCCACTCATGTAAAGCCCAGATGTTAGGCAACACTTGCAGCTCTCTACACATCCTAATAAAGTTGGAGGGGTTCTGGTTAACCAGAGCCCTCCACTTGGTGAGCTCACTGCTGCACAGATCATTCACCCCGTAGCGCTCAATGTAACCAAAGTCCTTTATGCTTTTTAACATTTTTTTCTCCTCTGTTTTGGGAGCAACCAGAAGTACGCCAGATTCCTCAAATGTTTCCCTCAACGCGCAGATCCGGAGGGCGACTTCTCCCGGGATGGGAGAGCCTAGTTTCAGTCGGTCTGTAGCAAAGATTGGAGGTCTGGTCTCCAGAGGCTGTTTGACACTTCTTAACCCGAAAGTCAGGGAGTTAGTGAAAGATCTGAAAATGTCCAACCACTCACTGGAAAAATCCGATGCGTCCACCACTCCCCCAGGAAACACATAAGCATTGGGCATGAATCCGCTTTTACCGCTTCTTTTAAGCAGCAAAACGTCGTAATCAAAGGGGGACCTGTGGGGCAGATGTGACTGTCCAGAGTCGCTTTCCCCTGTCAGCGGTGCTCTCGGGGTGAAACCACGCCCGCGTCCTGCGGCTAAAATCAGAGTGGCCGCCTCTTTCCAGTGCTTCAGTGTCGTGTTCATCCTAAACCAGCAGCGGTTTCATTCAGTCTAAAAAGTCTCAGCCTCTGACCTCTGTACTTTCACCGTCAGCTGGCTGGTAGCTTTGTTTTGGTGGAAGTCACATGATTCGGGGAACTGGGGACAGAAGCCGTTATCGCCATCTAGAGGCTGGAAGATCAACAATAACACGATCCTTAAATACAAT